AGCAATAAATCAGGCACAATGGCTAGAGTGCAACTTTTTACCTAAAATGGACAAATTGAAGAGAACAAAAGAATATTTAACTTGCCTACAAAAAATTGCAGCTTTTGAATCTTTATTAGTCTCTATTGGAAATACACGATGAATATCCAGCCAAAAGGAATGATGTAAAATCACAGGTGCTAAGAGAGAGAGTGTCCCCTTAATTTACTCAATTGCCTACTCACCACATTTTTATCACATACAAACCCAAATATCACCTGCAAAAAAAAAAAAATTATCCAGAATTTATTTTAAATATTCTATAGTTCCTTCTGGTCCGTTTTATCAGAGCTTCATATGATGCTCCAGCAAAAGTACAGATTTGTAACACTGAACACTGCAGAGCATTACTGACTGCTTGGGAAGTTTACACACTGTAAACATTATAATGTAGGTCCTACAAAAACAAGCCAGATGATCACCCTTTAATAATGATATAGGTATGACTGGACAGGGCTTTGGGGTTATGAGGTAGGACTGGATGGCTTCTGGGTTTTACAGAAGCACAGAAAACAAGACAGACATTTTAAGTGTATCCATTTTAAGTCAGATATATAATACTTTGCAACAACTGTTTAGCCAAACGAAATCTTTTGACAAAGAGTTGAGCAGAGAATCCTGAAAAAAAAAAAAAAGTGGTATTCTTCAAAAAAATGTGAAGAAACAACTGTTGATATGGTCTCAAGCACAAAACCATCACTAATGGAGAGCTACTTAATACAGTGACCATAACACAAAAAAATTAACATGCAAAAGGGGAAAGAACGAACTAGAATAAAAAGGTGTAATATAGAAATCAACAAGAAATGTATATTTGTAAAAAGAACATCAGAAGAGAACTTAAAAGATAATATGCTTGTACCTCACACAGAACTATTCAATGATCCCACGAGAGATTTATCACATTTTGTCACTTTTAACAGAATAACCAGTATGCCAACAGAAATACCAGGCAGCAAAATAAGTTTTGTGGGTTTTTTTTGTTTGTTTCTCCCCCTGTCACTGGGCACTACTGAGAAGAGTTTGGCTTCCTCTTACCCATTCCTTTCCAACAGGTATCTACAGACACGGGCAAGATTCTCCTGAGCCTCCACACCTAATCTCTTCTGAACTAACACAGTTTTGCCATATTTTTAGTGAAAACATTCCAACCTGACCTTCACTTTCCAATTGTGTCCCAGTAGTAACTCCTACTGATCCTACTATTTGTGTGAGTTATCAAAGCCTCTTCTCAGTTATCTGTTCAACAGTGGAAAATATCTCTAGTGTTGTTTCAGTACTGTACAATTCTATTCCAATCTACCTTCTTCAAAGTAATATTAAGTCATCAAATCTGAACAAAACCTCTGAAACTGTAACCAGGGACAACATATTGGTATCTCCAGTATATTACACATGGGGACCCTTCTCTGATATTATGTTTCCCTTCAAGTACTCCACCATTTAGAAAGAAGCATGCAGCACAGTTTCTGGCTGTATGTTTGCTTTTGCTCAAATATAAATTGATGAAACGGACCATTTAAGGATTTATAACCAAAACTATCAAACTTGACCGTAAAGGATATTTTCTGAGCAAGAATATTAAGCAGAAAAATCAACTTTATTTCTTTTTTCATCCCATTTTAATTATCTTTTTAATCTTCCAGCTAATGGAAGCCTACTCTAAATGCTATTCTATTGTGCTTCCTTTCAGTTGTACTGCAGTGCTCATCTTGACTAATAGATGTCTGCAAATCAACCAGGCTGTCTGCCTCTCCCAGTATTTACTGACCAGAAGGTATAGCCCAAAAGCTAATGAGCTGCTAAACATCGCTGCCACCGAAGAGAGATGTATTGTGAATTTGCAATTTTGCAAAACACCACGCACATAACTGATGATTCCTGTCAGTAGCTGTAGTGTGAGATCACGATTGACTCCGAGATAACAATTAAAATGGAATACATTAAGTAACTCGTTATGGGAAGGGGAAACATAAAGCTTGTCACTGACTGTGGCTTCGTTTCTCTGATGCAGACACCTCATGAAAGCCTTAATGACTTGTCAGGTATCACAGATCACGAGTCCATGTATAAAACTTATTTGGAATAGTCTACAGCTTCGTTCTACTGCAGGCAAATCACAAATTTTATTTATTTTGACCTCTTTCATGCCCAGACAGAATAATGGCTAAATGATTCAGAAGAGAAGTATTACCATACAGTCATTTCACTCATATAAAATTAAATCTATGATTTACAAAAGGACTTCTTATTTTTGAAGAGCCTGAATTCCACACTGGACTTTACTGCCATGTGCCTTAGTTCCCATTTTACTGCAGAAGAGAAAAAGAGAGCTCAGAACAGGATTCACAGCGAAACGTTTTGATAATTGCACTCCTGGCCTCTGGACATAAATTCTGAGTATAACTTCCTTTAAACATTGATGTCCTTTCATGAATCTAGACTACCCATTCACTAAAACTTTCATGGCACAGGAATGCTGCTGAAACTAGTAAATGCTGCACAGGGAGCACACGAAATTTCATCCTTTTAGAGATTTAGGCACTCTTCTCATCACTGAATTCATAAACTATAACCCTCTGGATTTCAGTGCAAAAGATTCATCACGTACAAGAAAAAGGGAGCTTTCCAAACACAGCAATATTCAAAAGTGTACTTTCTCTACATTCAGTAACTCAGTGCTCAAAATCCTCACCATATATTGCCACATCCTCAGGGGCCATCTCCTTATTCGTCTGGACTGGTATAAAATAAGGTCAGTGATGTTTATTTTGTTTATTCATTTAAAAATAAACAAATAATAACGATTAAAAGAAAATCAGTTCACGCATGACCAACTCAAAATAAATTTCACCTTCACTTTGCTCCCTTTTCAGTGAGCCTGCCCAGAATGTCAGACTGCAGATTTCAATATGTTCTTCCAATTATAACTTTCTGTGCCACTTGAATTCTGAGGTGCAGTGAATTCTATGCAATGAAAATGAAGCTACAATGGTCCAAAGCTCAGGCTTCTAATGAAGGCTGCCAGTTTAAATGAAAAATGAAAACAAGACACCAACAAAATCAGACACATTTCAAATAAGAGGGAAAAAAAATTAAGCAATACATCAAGCCAACTTCCAAAATTTTCTATTTCTAATGTATTTTAACTCCTCACACTACAGCTGATAGATCTGGAGGCCTTAAAATTGTATATTTTTTTATTATTTTTACTCGTTTGCTGTGCTTCATTAGATAAATTTCAAGCTTGACTTTCTGCAAGTAACAAAGCATAAAAGACTAAATCATGAACCACTGCTTTCATTACACTCTCCCTTTTAAGGCCAAAACCCAGCTTTTAAGCAGGACTGAACATCATATAAGTGCATTGGCTCATGAAATATTGCACATTAAAATCAATCAGAGTTTATCCTGGGAGCCTAGACAGAAAAAAAAACATGTTTCTCATGTAACTTTTAGAAATGAAAAAGGAGAATTTTCATCACTGTAGCTGATCATCACTGTATGAGTGAAAAACATATGGGCAGAGCAGTACAGACATTTTCCTTATTAGGAAATACCTGCTAAATGCAGATCTGTGAGCAGTAATCAGGCAGAGGAGGAAAAAAAAGGCATTCTCTAAGGACACCTACAATTAACTACCTGGAACAAATTAAAGTCAAGTGAAATCCATTAGAACAGGAGATCCTCAAAGTTCTGCTCATGCCTCCCCTGCATGGCCACGTGCTGCCTAAACATGCACATGCAACAAAACTAATGTTTCAAAGAACTAGCAATCATAAAAATAAAACTATAAGCCAATTCTAAATAATACTCTATGCTGGAACTTTAATTTGAGCATGTTTGAAACACAAAAATCTCTCTTTGGTGACATGAATTAAAAAGCCCTCTACAAAATCTGTACTATTACTTATTTAATCAAATAATATTTTTCATATGTATATATATATATTCTTTTCATTCCAGGCTGAGTCATACTAAAGATACATATAAATAAAAATAAAAATCTGTCTTGGATAATATCTTTTAAAGGTTAACTTGAAAAATCAGAAATCCATACCTGAACTCGAAAACAGTGTTGACATTTTCTAACTTAAATTGTTTAGGAGAAAACTATCTACAATGTTTTTTGGTTTTGTTTTTTTTTTGTTTGTTTTTTTTTTTACAATGAAGGTTAGTTTCAACAGTTCTTTCATTTAATGCTTCTTCTACCTTTAGTTTAAAAGAAAATAGAAAAGCTTACCAAATGGCAATTGACCAGGCAAAACGCTGGCAAATTTTGTTGACTTTCTGAAGCAATTTCACTTCATCTTCTCTATTACAGACTCTCCAGGTAATCATTTCATTCCAGGAAAGCCATCAAAACACCTTTTTCAACTCTTTTGCAAGGTACTACATTTGACTGCTAGTGAATACTTACAAAGTTGAGGCCACTTTCTTGAATAATATGAAAGTTTCCAGTTCTAAACATAATTTATTGGAATTTCTGAAGAATTTCTGTGTTTATCTGTCTAACCTTACATAGAAAATTCAAGTCTTGACAAGCACTCTGCTTGGACTCCCTATGTTACACTGCACAAAGCCCATGTTCTGGACATGAACCCTTCTACTGTCTAGGTAGATCTAGGGTGGTTTTTTCCCCTCCAAGTTTATTACATTCATTTTTATTAATAAGCAAAAAAATTAAAAATAAAAAAAAACCAAGAATAAACATGGTTTCTAAAAGAACAAGCACCACTACTAGTGGTTCATTCAGATTAAGACATGAAATTCTTTGTTACTTCCAGCTAAAAACAAGATGTCTGAACACTGGCCTCCCTCAGGCTTTCCAGTCCCTCTCACATCACCCTGTCTCAGCCTTTGCCAAGATGTTCCTCTTTCCCCTCCCTCCACCAGCACTGGCAGCAGCTGATCTCACAGACATGGCTTTAAAGATCCCTTCTGTGATGACAATTCCTCCCCGCTCCCAACCCATCCATGTTGTGTCCCATAACACTGCTGTCCCTTGCAGTAGCTCAGCGTTCCCAGGGCTCATCTGGGACTCAAAGCACAACATCGGGTGTGATGGAATAATCTAACTGCTGATTAATTTTATCAATTAACTGAACACAGCCACATGGGTGAATTTGGCTCCCACTTGCCAGGGCCCAAAAGCAGAGGCTGAGTCCCTCAGAAGTGGTGCCTGCTGCCCTTCATGGAGTGCCAGTACCTGGTTACCCCACAACCCAGACAATTACTAAATATTTAAGAGAAAAGAACAGCAACTGTGAGTAATCACTATTTGTTCTCAACAGAAATAAAAAAAAAAGGCATCATACTCAAGCTGGGAACCAAATTAGTGTGTTCAGAAAGGAGAAGTTACACATACCTGAATATTAAGCAATCTGGCTGGAAGTAAATGCAAGACAATTTACAAAACAATTTTATTTCTCTACTATATGACCTTTCAAATTCTCCTGAACTAAATGAAAGCGGGTTCATTCTCAAGCACTCCTTCAGTGTGACACTTCATCAGATATTTAAAACAAAAAAATCTATATAAATTATAAACTCTTGAGATTTTTATTTACTATCTCTTGATATACATCACCACAGCAATGCATGTGAAAAGGCCAGTAAGACAAGCAGCATGTAACTATATTACTAAATTAGAATTTAGTAATATATTATATTATATTAATATAGTTAATATAATATTAATTATAGTTAATAGTTAATATTATATTAATAGTTATTATTATAGTTAATAGTTAATATTATATTAATAAATTAATATAATTTAGTAATATATTATATTACTAAATTATATTAATAATTATATTATTAAATTAGAAAATTTTAGAAATTTTAAATCACCAAGCTTATGCACAGGCAGTCTGATACCTCCCCCTTTGGACATCACATAGGAATAGATAAAAGGGTTAATACATACTTGGTATTGTTCTAACAAGCAAGATATCAGCTGGTAGGTGAGACCATACAGAAAAGCACCAGTGAAGCCCAAGGAAAATACCAGCTGTCTCTGCTCAGAAAAGACAGATTACCACCTGTCCCTGTTATCTTCCATACACAATACAAGGCACGTTGGTCATTTTAACAGGGATAACTGTACCCATATGCTGTTTAGTTTTGAACTGCACTCTGCCTACTTGTAAATATTAGTGATGGATCAGTCTAAATTGTAGATTAGCCCAGTGGTGATGTTTAGGTAGAGGCTGAACTTCACGCTTACTTTAGCTCCCTGAAGCCTTAATCTACAGCGTGCTGAGCTTGCATCACTGCTTTAGGCAAACAATGGAAAGCAAACCCGTGTGCTCACAGGCATACAGGCACAAAGAGAGGAAAAGAATTTCAAAAACATTCAAATTTAAAAAAAAAACCAAAAACATTTAATGGAAGAATTGTTTTAAGTCACAGTCTGGCAAAAAAAAAACAAAAAAAAAAAACATTTAATAGAAGAATTGTTTTAAGTCACAGTCTGGCAAAAGAGCTTTGTTTTATATACTGTGAGAAGCCCTGCTTACCTTTTAAGCAATACACGAAATAGCGGTGTTACAAAATCATAAATACTGCTGCAGATTTCAAAACAAGAAAAAAAAAAGAAATAAAAGTCTTCCTGAATTCTATACAACTATGGGGAAAAAAAAAATCTGTTCCATTAAGTTTTACAATGGCAGTAGAACATGCCATTTATGACACAAATACATAAACAGCACTTTTTTTTTTAAGAGCAGATAACTAGAATCTCAGGAACAACTTTGATTTGGACATATGATTCTTGCAAATTAACTGAGTGGTTTCATGTTTGACTTGTGACTGAACTCTTATGGCATTGCTTTTATAATACATTCTGAGTTTATAAGGAAATAAGAATAAAAAGAATCATCTACAGTGTAATGCCACCTTCACAACCACAGCACTGCCAAAAAAAGCAGACTCAACCCGAATCCTCAGATCCCATAGGAGCTGCAAATTTTATTAGAGTATTCTGGCTCTTCTTTTTATTCTCTTTCAGTCATTCTCTGTGTTGAAGACCACAAAAAACCCCAAAAAACAAAAACCAAAACCCAAAACAAAACAAAAAAACAGCCAACCAAACAAACAAAAAAAAAAACCTCAAAGAAAAAAACCCACTTGAGAATCGCTGGCATGGAATACAGCTGACTGCTGTCTGTCAGCCAGATGTTAGTGGCTAAAAGCTGCATCATTTGCAAGGAATAGCAAGGATGTCTGACTGGGAGGCAGGAATGCATCACCAAGGAGTGGGATGAAGGACCTCAACGTCTGAGAGCCTCTGAAACTTCAGAGATTTGTGGAGCTCTCCAGCCTTGCTCAATTCCCATGAATACTTCGCCCCAGCAGCTGTTCAGATGTTTGTTTGAACACATTTTTGTAAAAAATGTTGAAATAATTATTTAGTATAATGCTCTTGCATCATGGTCTAAGCTGCTGGTTACTGCAGGGCTCTGAGACAATGCCCTGTGGTTTTGACCCAGAATCAAGCATTCACTTATGCTGCTTTCAGTTTTAAAAAAAAAAAAAAATTAAAGGCCTAGAGACATGAAAGATTCACACTGAAAGCAGAGGATCATAAATTTCCTGGTCTGGTCACTGACTCCTACAACTCACTCTATTAGATCAGGTGTGAAATTTGTGATACTTCAGCAGAAACTTAACACTGCATCCATCCCCACGGTTTTTCCAAAAAACATGACGTATGTCAAAAATCCACCGCTAGCCCTTTCAGTATTTCAAAGTTCTCAGTTTTTCAAACAATAAAATTTCACCACATGTTTACTCATAATATATACTCTAACGCCTTCCCTGTCTGCACTTACTCGGCATTAAGTTGCTGAGTAAACACCAAAAAAAAAACCCCAAAAAATACCACTTCCCACCCCAAAATCACAAATCTACAGAACAACCTGATTTTCCACTTTCACATATGATTTCTTATTAGAAATTTGCAGGCTAGAAAACACAAAATTTTCATCAAATTAAACCAAGGGAACCTTTTATTTTAAAACATCATGCAAGAGTTGCACAACTTATTGACAAATTGCCTTTAAATAGCTAGTAATTTAATTAGCTTCCACTTTATTGAAGCTTAAAAGATTTATTTTTCTCTCAGCTAAGCAAGCCAAAGTTTTTCTTGTGCTGATCTACAGAACAACTGGAATTCACATGCTGCTTTTAATAAACCTTCAAATGCTCTGAAGATGTACTTCTTTAAATATAAATGAATTCACCTTCTCAAATTTGGCCCTGTCTTGTAAGGGAAATACAAAACCCTAAATTAAATTTTAAAATAAAACTTGTGAATCTACTGAAATAGTTTTCATATCTGAACTTCAGATACATTATTCATTTTTATTCTATGTCCAGGTACATGCAGGATTATGTAACTTAATTACCCTATGTTTGCTCTGAGCCTATTCAACTGTGTGTAAAAAGGATCATATACAACTTAATCACGTAGCTATCAATTCTCTAAGCCTGACCAACTGTTAATTGAACTTCTCAACCACAGCAGACTGTCACCCCTGCCTGTGCTCCTGCCACCTGTGCCAGAGTTAATACTTGGGTGTCAAAAGTACAGCTCTGCTTCAGCTTCAAACAGCAGCTTTTGTAACTCTAAGTCTAACCACAAAAGCCTGCAGGAAAATGGTTACAATACTTAATTGCACTCAGCAATCACTCCTGGATTATTATAAATTGACAACAACAACAACAGAAAGATAAAAAAATTAACGGTCGGTTCAAACAAACTCTCTTTGAAGAGCATGGCCTTATGAACCGATAAATTCTTTTTAGTTTAAGCACTTTGAAAGAATGAATCTTTCAGGCAGTCAAAATTTCATGGCTTCAGTTTGATTAGACTTTTGCTTCCAGTAACCAAACACAGTTGTGCAATTCCAGGCAAGAAACATCAGTTTCCTACCAGATGCCACTACTTAAGGTTAATATACCAGGTGAAAATAAGGAATAGCACTAGGTGGAATTCTGAAAATTCAATCATTAGGTTAAGGTCAAACAAGAAAAAGCAATTATAGGCATAAATACTGTATAGGAAGGCAAAAGTCACCAAAAGATGACAATCTGGAGGACCATGATTTTTCCATACCTTTACCAAATACAGTTAGTCTGGCAGCAATATGCTACAGCCCTGCATGTGACTCTGACAGCAAGATGAGAGATCTTGGTCTGCATGTTCACACTCCTTGACCAGAAGCTGTCCTCTCTGATAAGTATCTGTTGAAATAAGTTAGCCTAAACATAGGCTAAGTATCACCTAGCACATAGCCTTTCCCTAACTAAGCTGTGTCCAATTCTGTACAGTTCAAATAATTAAATTATTAGATATTTTAAGGCAATTTGTCAATAAGTTGTGCATCTCTTGCATGATGTTTTAAAATTAAAGGTTCCCTTGGTTTAATTTTATGAAATAGCATAATTCAAATCAGTTTTTCTCAAAACAAGTTGCTTTGGCAGTGGCTCCACGTGCACTCACCCTGCCTCTGAGTAGGGCTGTGATAACGGCAGGGAAGGACAGAAGCAAACAGCTGGGATCAAAACCTCCCAACTTGGCTAAACCATAGTCACAAGAGCACATCTGACTTCATTTGACAGAAAAGCAGCTAATGTCACACCCAGCCAACTCCCCACCTCTGTAGGCTGCACCTACAGAGAAAAGGGATGAGGTTTTCCTCCCACTCCCCACTTTGTGAGCCACACAGGAACAATGGCAATTGGTTGACTGGGATACCTCAGTCTAATTCTTCAGCAGCTGCAATCTAGAGGAGTAAACTCCACAGTCCAGGAATTTCTGTGCACTCAAAATAGCCTGTGCTTGCTGCTTGCTTCTACATGTGAGAAATCTCTTCTTTTTTTTTTCTTTGAGAAGACTTACAGAGTAAGCATCTGAAACGGAATAGCCTGCTACTGCTGTGGTTCTTTTTTGAGTCTATATACAGTCTCTCAAGTATTTAATTACCTTTTATATTTTAAAACTACTATATAGATTACACTAGGTTTGAGTTTGGGTTTTTGATTGAGATACAGCAACCCAGAGCAGCAGCCAGTCCCTTACTGGTAAGTTTTCTCTGCAGCCTTAACAAAGTGCGCAGACATTCAGGCTGAGCTTCCTCACATAAACCCAATATTAAAATAAACCTTTCAAAACTACAGTCAGGTTATTTATTTTAGATGGAGACAAAATCATTGATAATAATCATTCATATTAACATCTAAGCAAGTTTTCTTAACACCTTCCCGACTTTCTCAATATCTTTGCTGATAAATTCTGGGGTTTTTTTGACATGCTAATTAATACTATTCTAGGAAACAACCAACCAAACAAAAACCAAACCAAAATTACGGCATTAGAAGAAAGTTAGCCACAGAATAATGGATGTTTTCAGACTGAAAAATTTTCTTACAGATAAGAAGAGAATTAGTTTATGCCAGATATCATATATGAAAACAATAAAGTAAAAATAAATAAGTCAACCAAAGAAGTTATAACCAGAATAAAGTGGAATATTTTCCTCCTTGTAATACGTGACTTTGGAAACTGTGGAAAAGGTTACAAACCATATTTTTGCAAAACTTCATAGAGAAAATGAAGTATTTTTCCCTGTTGCCCACCATAACATAGGCAGAAAAAAATAAATCGTAAGTGCTTTATACTTTCTTCTGGTTTATGACTTTGAAACATTCTTTATAAGTTTTGAACAAAAAATTAATATGTTCTTAAAGAATTTTATTTAATTAACAGAAAAGGTAACCTCTCACTGCATTTACTAGAATTTTCACTTTCTCTCACACAACTCTGTGCACAAAAAAAAAAAACGCACTAAGAAAAGTCTGTGAGAGTGCAACTTTAAAATGACCTGTGCTGGATCAATACCACCTTTCCTCAGTGCATCTCTTGCTTCTCTCCCAAGAAACAAAGTAGTAAAGTAAGCTATAAGGAACAGCTGAGAGAGCTGCTTTATTGCACCAGATTTATGACAACCTGAAATCTATTACTTTCCTCTATAACTCAAGCACAGTTTGGCATTGACATTATTTTGAATTCCTTCCATATGATTAAAAGGTGACAGCCTTTGACAAGGAGGAGCTGGACTACACATTCTCCAGAGAAACCTTCCAGCCACAGTGATTCAAAGGCTGCTAAATGTTCACCTTTAAATACTAATATTAGTAAAGTTCTTCTAGGTTTACTTTCTGCTAAAACTTTAATAATTCAACTACTATTCTTAACAAATGAACCTTGCTGCAAAAGACCTTCATGCACACTAGAAAACTGAATACTCAGCCATGTCCAAAAGCTTTGTTATAAACCTACAAGGCCACTTTGCACAAACTCAAATAAATCACCTTCTCTAGTTTTCATACAGCCAATCTCCTTAAAACGCCTCAGTGAGAGCGTTCGCTTATTTCAAATATAAAACAAACAAAACTGAAATGCTCTCTACGATGAATTTCATTTTTATTGCAGGTTCAATGTGTTTTAAAAGGGACCAGAACATTGCTGGATGTACACAAAAAAACTGACATGACCTTGTGGAGTATCTTTGAATTAAAAGTCTGAAATGGTTTCATAAACTGCCACAAAAAAACAGTGCTTTCCTTCTGAAAACATTAGTTTGGTCTTGCTGGGCTTTTTTTCCTCTCTTTAAGTTCATCTTTAACTAAAATGAACTTGGAAATCGGTGATTGCAAATTAACAGAAAAGAGGAATATTACTTTCAAACACCAACAACATTTCTTCTGTTTCTTAACTTGAAATCCCTGCTCAAAGTCATAAGCCCTAAGATATCACTGCATCTTGAAGAAATTTATGTAAAACTCCACTGGATCTTTCAAGTTTAGGACCCTCATATGTAGTATCGACGCAATTTCACTTACAAGAAATTTTGTATATTTTAATGTTATTCAGTGTCTACTGTGAGGAAATAAAGGCTACCAGCAGAGTGCTTATCTTTGTAGTCCAAGAGACCTATTCCTTTACCTTTCCAATTGCGAGCGTCAAGATTACAAAAAGGAAAATAGTATTAAAATGTATGAGCTCTAGAAATGTGCTATGTCAACACTCCACTGGGCTACAGTTCAAACCTAAATTTTCCAGGGCTTTAATCTGAAGGACAATTAGAACACTTGCAAGTCGGGATTAATTTTCTTTTTTATCGTGAATGTGTGTAATCAAATAACATTTTGGCATTTTTTCCAATGAAAATATCAAAAGGAAGCGTGAAAATTACCTAAAAGAAAATAATGCATTTCTTAATTTTTAACCCCCATACATAGGAATCATATAAATAGTTCTTATTCTTTAATTCTGAAACTTGCCATTCCCACGAATTTTTGAAAAGATTTTACTTGGAAAGAAAACTGAAAAGCCACTGAAAATATTTTAACTGTTCTTTTTTTTAAAAAAATCCTACAATAAGCAACATTATGATGTTAATTGCAAATCTCAGTAAAGCTGCACCAGCAGAATGGCCAACCTGTCTCAAATACTTGTCATTACAGACTCAGCTGGCACTTCTTTCTCAAAGTAGTCAGTAAAGCGCTGTCTTTGTTGTATAAAACTCCCACACAAAGGTTATTTCTATATGACCATAGGTCTCTTTAGATACATTTTCTACTGAGACTAGGGTAGAAAAGCTCTACTAGTTCACAGCCATAAAGCACAATAATTCAAGTCTGGAATACAGGGTGGCTTCCTGGCCTAAGTACTCTTCGACATAACTCCTTTAAAAACCTTTTTTATTTCTTTTAGGCCAGTTCCACCCTTGCAGTACCGTCCATTACAAAACCTGACAACACGATACGGACAGTCCTGAAAACTAAAACCAAGTTGTGTTACTTTTTAAACAGGTAGCAATACACTCCAATTTATATTTTATATTTTTTCTGAATACGCTAATGAATTCATCACTTCTCAAGACAGCAAGGACAACTGAAAATTACTGCATGGTATTGCTTGCTTTATAGTAAAATTTGAAGAGACATTCAAGGTTTTCGACACAATAATTTCTGCTGTACGTTCTTAAGTGCAAATGTTTGTCATCCTGAATGTTAAGCTTGCAAATACACATGTAATTCTTCAAAGAGGGAAAAACAACACTTCAAAAATAGGTAGTGTAACTATCGGAGATATGAATTTATTTACAGGAATTGACCTTTGTACTGATGGTGCATAAATCAAAGACTGAGCCAGTGCTGATCACTCTGAAAACACAGACTGCAAAGTACCCAGGGTGCTTTTGCTAACCATCTAAAATGAAAAACATCTCCATTGCTGACTGATGCTATCAAAAATTACACTGAGCTTGACAAAGTCAAGTAAACAAGCTAAGTAACCGAGCAATGCACTTGCAGCAGGTCTATCTGCTGCTCCAGGAAACTGTCTGTCAACGTGACACATAATAGAGATGGTTACAGCCCACACAGGGTAACAAACAGCCCAGAGATCTGACACAATACTGCCTCTGTAATTAGTATTATCCTAGTGATATATGCTATGAATGTGCAGCAGTTTGATTGAACTTTGGTGTAGACACAGCCTTCTTTCTCAGCTCAATTATTTTCCTTTGGTACATATTTCATATCAAACCAAGATGTAGTTTGCAGGCTTTCTAGCAGTCTATTCATACAGACTAATTTAATATAGATCATTTCATGTAGAGATAAACCCCGGTTTGGGGAAGAAAAATATGTAAAGGAAGAAAAATATGTAAAGAAAGAAAAATAGCAAACGAAAGTGACTTTATTTAAGGACAGATGAGTTTCTCAAGATAACTAAGTCTTCAAAAGGAAATGAAAAATAGTAGTAGTGATAGAGATTAACAGCTCATTTACTGTAAGCATGCCCAAGGCTGAAGTAGAAGCTAGGTACAGGATTCCATGGATAAAAGGCAAATATTTTCCCCATCATTAAAATACATTAAAAGCTTTCACATTAGTTTCCCATTCTTAACCAAAGAGATTAAAAAAAACCAGGCTAGTTCTGTTTCCTGCCTACCAGAAAGTGAGCGAATAAACAAAAAGTTACTGGATTCAAGCCTAAATCTTCATTCACGAAGCCTAGCCATGAACTGGATTCAAAATGAACCTTCTCTTCACTCACTAACAGAAGAACATTTCTGTGTCACCAACAGACTGCACACAAATCAGTTTTGTCCTCAACTACAGCCTTTTTCTACTCCATCTTCAACCAGAATCCAGGTATTTTGAACAGTAAGATTCCCTGCCTCCTTAAAGTTGTCGTAACTTCTATAGTTAAATGGCAGCCAAAGGAGACTTCACATTACACTCCCTCCAAAATATTCCTATGCATTACAAACCCTCAACATAGAACTGCAGAGATTTGGCCTCTGCTCCAGTAATGAACAAGTTCAGGTGCCCACAATCACACCATAAAGCCAACTTTCCCCAGGACATACGCAGTATGAAGTGCAGAGACTTTTATTGGCTGACAAGTCTCATTTCACACCACCACTAATCCTTACCCCAGAAAAAAGCTGCAAGAGAAACAGTAATGCTCTGCCTAGGAACCTCTGGTTATGAATTAGCTCAAAATTACGAGTACTATTTTGCTAAACAAAATGGCAAAGCATGCCCAGAAAGCATTTGTGTAATTTGATCATCTTAACAATCACCACTGGAACTAATGAACAATATTTAGACAAAAGCTCACTAAATTACCAAAAAAAAAAAAACCAAAAACCAACTACCTTATATTCTGTTGCTGTCACAAAGAAACAATTATCTTCCCATCACCAAAAAACCTACTTCACCCCACTGTAACAAAGAACAACATCTGCCAGCACTAACTTTATGTCGACCCATAAAAAGTACTTTCCAATATATTTTGGATAAAAACCTCTTTCATAAAGAGTGCTTTTTTACCCCCAATTAGCCCTAGTATAGCACTACTCCTTCCCAATTCTTTTTGGAGAAGCTCTCTCAATTCCAAGCACATCTTGAACTTCCTCAAGAAAGTGAAACCTGTACCATTCCCAATCAGGGCCTTAAAAATTACAGCTGCAAAGCCTGCCATAAGTTTTTATAGTGGCCATATTACTTCTTTTATAGATTATATTGTAAATCTAAGATACAAAAATAAAATGCACAGGCTCATAAAAGATCTTTATTGCATGCAGCAATTGAAAATACATTTTGTAGTTTATTTTTTAAGGTCGAGTTTCTCTCTGTATTAAATAATAGTTTTGGAAAAAAAATGCCTAAATAATTTTGTGCAGAATTTTTATTTCAAGTCAGATGCACACAAAATCTATATAATGCACAAACACATGTTTAATTAAACGAACAAATTAGAAGCAAAATGCTAGTATGTATCTGATTTAGAAGATCAACACAAGAAACGTAGGGTATGTTAAACTACTTATTACTTCAAACAATTGAATATATATGAACACTGACATACTTTAATATTCCATTGAATTGTTTCCCTTGTAATCAAAAAAACGAAGGCCACACGTTCTGAAGTCTGACACTCTGCTATCCTCACAGAAGGGCCTACCTGTGATTATTTATTACCACTGTGCACATGTATTTCAGATTCAATTTCCACTCATCAACCAGAAGAATCTCCAATACCTCTGTAGTGGGAACAATCAGATGCAAATAATCATCAGGCATTAGACACACTAAGCCATATATCTCAACAAATCATCTTAGCCTAAGAAAAACCCTTCAAGGGAAGTAATTATTATCTCTCCCAATCATTTAAAGACAGAAACAGAAATAATTAAGGTCATGAATAAAGAGATCATTACTTTTAATGTACCTTTGTGTGCATCAGGTCTCAGCCCCAATATGATGACCGAAGTCAGGGCCAACACCATGTACCATCGGGAGCAACCCCTTGCCTGCTTTTGGAGGGCAAGAAGTTACCGAATTAAAAAAAAACATAAATCCTTGGAAATAACAGATGCAAAACCATTTTACCTAGCTTGGATAGATCTGTTAAAAAGGTTTTTCTTGGCTTTTTGTGGGTAATGATCCTGTTTCCAGGCCAGGGGCAAGGCTGACCCCATGAGAGTCCTGGCCTTCCACCCCTCCCCAACTCTCCCATGGCCACACCTGCCCCAGGATCCCTCGTCCTGGGTTAGAGCCCCTGTGGCTGCAGGGCTGCCAAGTACCAAAAGCCTGAGATCCAGAAGAAAAGACAAATGATGGCTCATTAAGGACTAAAAGTGCAGGTACAAACAGCATTATCAGAAAACAGATATAAGTTTAAGAGCTCCTAGAAAAGGGAGAGGAGGGGAGGAACGGGAAGAGGAACGGAGCCATGAGGGCCTGGCACCTTCTGCCGCCGGGCAGGGTGCTTCATTTTCTTACACAATCCCAGCTGGCAGATCTGACACAGCTGAGTGCCCACAGGCTGGGATAAAAAAAAATTATCTGCTCTGTGCACATCAAGACACTTTTAAACAAAATCTGCTGAGTAAGACTAGTGCATAACCAGCTACTTTGAACTGTTTCCTGCTCTTTTGGTGGTCTATGGCTTTACAAGATGCCATCAAGATGAATTACACACAGAGACAATAACCAAAGTCTGGTGAATAGTTAATGTCTTTGGATGTAGACCACAGAACAAATCAAACTTTCTGCTCTCCACTTTAAAGATACCACACAGAGCCTCGTCCAGCCTTGCGTATCATCAATTCACTTCAACACAGGAACATTTCAAGTAAGTGTTTAAAACACAAAAGAAACACAAACCCAAAAACTTAAAAATGCACATTTCCTCATTTCAGTAAGATACGACCCAAGGAATCCATATTTCCCATGAAAGAAAGGCATATTAAAAGCTACTACTCTTTTCTGACAAGCTATGCTTCGGAAGTTTCAACTGCAGTTCTATTCTGTCCCTTCTCCTGCTTCGCTTGGATTCACTAATTTCTGTACTGTGTGAATAACTACATATTTCTTCAAGTCACAAATGTTACTTAGGAAGACAAAAGAGTCTGACCATTTATGCTGTGACTTCCCTTACTGTGTTCTTAATTGAAAAATAAATGACAATAATGAAACAAACTCCAGTGCTGATTTAAGTTCCCAGAGCAGTGCGAAAGCTAAATTACAACAGAATTAGCAACATTTTTCATAGTGATTTACTTCATAGGCACAAAACTTCTTCAAGCTGTAACTGTGGACAGAGTAGCATGCATATATATATGTATATATATGACTTCTTAGAGACAGAATCCCTGCATCTGTGGTCATGGAATTACAGTACTAATTGGAACTTCTATACAGTATTAGTTGACTTGTAGCCTCAAGTTACCTTTTAATATTTGGTTTAATAGAACTATTAAGTCTCATGTATCCCAGGCTTTTCAAATTTGGAACAGTTTGTGCAACTTTCTGAGCCCATTTCAAATCTCCAACATTCTCTTTTGTGTATGTGTGCGGACTCAGCATTCCAGCAGTGGTCTCACTAGATTACTCACCTGTACTTTACCTCTACTTGTATTTCCCAGTATATCTTGGAATAATCTTGTTAGACTATCTAATTTACAGCCTTTGGTCCCATAATGCAAACCTTCTGAACATACAACTTTCAGGTTCAGATACATGATGAAGCCTTTCAGTAAAAGCATATACTTGCAAGGCAGTTCAGCTCAAATATGGAGAGTGGACTTAGCTTCACCACAACTTATCTGTTTTCTTATCTTGTTTATCTTATTTGTCTTATGTGCAAATCCTGCAAGTTGTGACTGATGATGATTGTGTAAATCCATTTTGAACTATGTACTTCTACTCTTTCCACCTCTCTCTATTAAACTAGTGGGTTTGTGCGTGTGTGTTTAGAGAAAAGGGTCACTGCTTGACTCTTTCTACAAAGCAGTCAGATAATTTGAAGAAAAGTAAATCAGTTTTTCACCATTAGTTTACAATGCTCTTCCATGGACCAGCTCTCCTCACGCTCATCTAATCCTTTGTGAAGACTGGTTTAAATCAGGTTTCTTTTTTGTCCTAACTGAAGTCAGGAAAAGATTAAGCATACTTTCTCCTTTCGAGTAACAAAATGTTTAAATGATGACAGCATACTGAAGGAACAAAACCAGGGGCTGTAATTGCTAATTACTGCTCCCATTTTCCACCCCTTTTACTTTCGAGCTCTGCATCTATTCCCCGACACAGAGCAGAAATATGTGTGAGCTGTGATTCTCCCTCTAGAACAGGGAAAACTAATTGACAGCCTGAAGGCTAAATCCGGCTCCACAAGATGGTTTTACTTGGATCCCACGATGGCCTAGAGCATCAGGTACTGTGCTAAACAATTTGCTTAGCCCACAGGAGAGCTGGAAAGAAAGAAAAGGAGAGAGGACAAGTAGGGAGTGGGAGGAACAAAAGAGCCTGGGTGATGGCTGACAGGATAACAGGGGAATTTTAACCGTTCCAGCATTTCCCCACCTTCCCAAGATGCCCCCAGAGAGCATCTAATGTGGGGCAGGGCTGGAGCAGGCTGGGTCCTTCATAGGGTCTGCCCCCAAACTGGGCTAAGCCAGAGGGGGGACCACAACCACACCAGGCTCTTGAGTCCACATGCCTTTTGCAATACGGTTTTAAGAAGCAGCTTTGCTAAATGTACTAGATCATCAGAGCAGACTGTGGGTAAACTGCTGCCCCAAGAACCCCTACAAACTCAGGAGAGGAAGGCAGTACCATTCCTGCATGGGAGCTACAATCTTTCCAAAGGGAGGTCACACTGCTGGAGCAGAGATAGTCTGGATGTTCCTGGTCTAGGCACAAAATCCTCTTCTGTTTGGATCCTCTCTGTATTAAAACAAAAGGGCTGAGTTGGACTTTACAGGCTTTCCCCGAGAACAGGTGAAATGAAAATCAGTGACACTCATCTGTTCCTGCAGGAGCAGCCCTGAGTCCAGCAGGAACACAGTAAATTAAAGTCAGAAAAACAAGTCTCTCTGTTCCAGCATCTTGTACAGCACCTACATATTATTAGCATTTATCCTTTTTGGCCTTCTCTCTGTGGGCAACAGAGGGTTAAATACACAATCATCTTGATATATTCATCTGATCCATGAGCAGCTGGCAGGGAGAAAGAGAAAAAAAAAAATAAGGAGGCCCATAACCACAGGGAATCAACAATACAGGCTCTAGAGGAATAAATCCAGGGAAATGGAAAATTACAAGTTAGAGAACTCAATTTTTATCCCAGCACCACCCAAAAGGGCTAATTTTTGGAACATTTCAAAGGGTTTCCAAAGTTATTTGCAATTAGTGGTAAAAATAGCTACAAAACATTTCAAATAATCCTTAGAAGAGAGTGATGAAGAGCAGTCTTGTGAGGAACAAATAGAACAACGAGAATTCCCAATCTCTCCAGAGCTGACAGACATTCTTGTGACCCTGAGAGCAAAATTTAATTTCTTCCTGCCTCAGCTTTTCTGTCTAGAGAACAGCAACAGTAAGACCACCTTCCTTTCCAAATACAGACACATTAAACCATTTATAAAATGCTTTTAAGAACTTTATTTGAAATACCTCCTTATAAATAGGGGAGTGAGGACTTCTCAGAGTATTCTTGCAAAGGGAAATACTCCAAAACAATGCTAAGGTGCTGGAATTGAAGTATGCATTCATTCTCTTTCCTCTGTACACAGGCAATATTTACTAAAATGAGCTGACCATTATGACTTTTGTTTATTTTTGGAAAATATTGTTACTATTTTGGGTATAAAAACCTAATTACTTCAGTTAGCATGTTAAAATGAAGTAATTCAGAGTGCTTCCCATTACACTTTTTATTAATACCAAAGGATTGCTTCAGCCCACTAAGAGTGAAAAAGCTATATATTAAGGAGATTTTGTATTATATTTTATTAGCTAATTCCATGATGGCAGTTTTGAATACTTCATTGTCTGCTCCTTCAATAATTATTAATATAAGTCTAGTAGATCTTACTTTATAAGGAAGCTTTGCCATCACATCAAGTATTTTGCTTGATGCCTATTTATTAAAGGACAGACCTTTCCATTGTATTTAGTGTTTATTCAGAAAGTGGTACATAGGAAAGTTTTCATATATTTTGAGGAAAATCTGACCTGGTAATAAAGCAAAACCATAGTTATTAGAAGGAGCAATCGAGAAGAAGACACCATTTTAAAAAAATAACTCAGTTAAGTCACATTATCAGTGGAGCCTTTCCTGTTTTAAAACCTCACCACAGACTACACCAAAGAACCTATTCCACTAATAAAACTGGAGCCAAACAAATTATCTTCAGATAAAGACGTCTACAAGAGAGACTTGCTAGTGTCTGATGAAAAATTTAAGAACAGCATGGTATTCGAGGAATCTGCTTAATTATTGCCATCTTACTCTTGCAGAATTTTTAGTCTACATATTTTGTATACTTTAAGGTCAGGTTTGGTTCTTTTTTGACATCAGCGAAAAACCTGCAGGTTTTTACTAAATAGTCTATCAGTAGCATAATTATTGAGTAAGGATAAGGCTTTTAAGCTGAACACCAGACTTCTAACATTAACAGTTTCTGCCAAGAAAGCATTTACTAAGAGGAATTAGGGAACAAAAGCAACCAAGAATGCCTTTGCGTCTGGAAATGGTTACAGAAACCAAAATGGTAACTCACATAACCCTAAGACTCTTTTTTTTTCTTTTAAAAACAAGTGTTAGGAAAAAATATGACACTTTTTCCTCTTTTTTCCACTTAAACTGGAATACTTCTAAGCTGTAAATGAATAAAAAACCCTTTTTTGGTGTGTTTTTTCCTCACTTTATTATGAACTTCTGAAACTGAATTATAGCATGTATATAGGTAAAAAATTAAATGCCAGCCTAGCCAGCTCTAACCCACAGGTCCCCTCTCCAATCACTTTTGATAGCACGGAAGCACAAAGAAGCCCAGTTTAGAGAGTCCACATGTGTTTAATCTTTGATTAATTGAACAAAAACTAAGAGCCTCCAGACATACTTCTTTTAATCACGGGCAAGATACCTTTTCAGTTGCTTTGCTCATAGGAGAGAGTCAGCAGATGTCTGTCTGGTCTAAAGGGAATTTCTCTTTCTCTGGAGAAAACAGTTTTAAATAGGAGAGGAACAAATAGGAGAGACATATGCTGACTAGGCACTGCTTAACAGATGACGTAGAGAAGCATCTACTACCTCAGGGACTGGAACGGGGCAGTTTTCAAATTAAATTTCTTTCAAATTCAAAGCAATCAGCTGAAATCAATTTACATACAGGACGCAAGTCAAGTCAGACAGTTCTCATCAAAACAGCTCACAGACACAAAGATGCAAATCTGTCTTTGTCAGCAGTATGATCTTAAAGGAAGGTTTTAATAGGATGACAGTAAAAAGAAAAATAAAAACCGATTTCTTCACAATTTCCAACACAGCTGATACTTTTGTTCTCTGCGGAATGATGATTCAAAATATTTCATCGATATGGAGTATTTGCCAAATATTCTAAATTCATACACAAAATGAATTGGCACAATGCAAATTTATCTCCAAATTTTAAGTCAGAATCAAGCCTCTCAGTTCTTCAGATAAACATGTTTTAAAATGTAGTACTGGGGGAAGAAGCATAAGAACCAATGCATGAGGATTACTAGCAGCATTTTATTTGTCTGACTTCATTCTTCTGCCTACAGGCGTATGTCCTATATCACCATCTAGGAAATGTAAACACTTATAAAAAATAGGAATGATCTTCATCTAGTTCTACCAAGATGTCTTGGGGGATGGTGGAGGAGGAAGAATGCCTGTGGGGGAAGAAAGATCAAGAGTCTAAAGCAGAAATGGGGGGGAAAATAGAATAGATATCTATTGGTTGAAAACAGCATATAAAGACTTCCTTGGACCAGAGGAAGCTCACCAAAGGAGAGTTTTTCCTCTCAGGAAGGAGACAGCCAATGGTCCCAATTCATGTAATAACTTCCACCAAGGTGCTCCCTCTGAACTCTGCTTGAGGCTCTGTAGTGTGGGAAGGGAAGAAGAACATGCAGCAGGGACTGAAAACAGACTGCAGTATGAAAACCTCCTTTTCCTCCTTCATACAATTAGGATACCTGCCTTTATTCCTATTTACAGTTGATGTTATTAGTCTGAATTGTCTTCCACAGGGTTTTAAACAGCAACAGCAAAACTAAGGAGAACTTTGGTATCAATTCACTGTGTTGGCTGGATTCAGTAGCATGACTTAACCATCTGTCTCAGGCTCATGCTTGCAAAGGTAGGGTCCTGCAAACTGAACAATTTTAATTCTACTTTTTTCTCTGAAACTAATGACAGATAACCCTAAATCTGCAAGGAATATCTTTCACCTTATTTTAAGAACAGAATTCCCCAGCTTTGGTTTCAGATAACTTTTTACCCATCAAAGCTGCCATTCCACAAAAAGACTGCCACCACATAGCTTGATTTATGAATTTGCTGAGCTGCACAGCAATTTCTGGCAAGACTATAACATGTCTAATTTTGCTTAATCATCCATCCCAGCATGGCCACGGTAACATCCTAAATTACTCATCAGCTTAAGAATAAATCAGTATACTCACATTATCACAACCAATCAAGAACTCTGTTCCTAAATTCCTCTGTTGTACATAGTTTCTGGGAAGACACAGATAAGTAAGAACAGCTTTCTTGGTCCAGACAAAGTGTTCATGTAGCCTATTATTTTGCCCTGACCTTGGCAGGATTAGATAACTGCGTTGAACAGGAATCTTTCATTTGCGTGCTCTGTTCTCACAGTAGACCTGACTGTAGTGTATCAGCATTTAGAAAAAGCTTTCGTTTGTTGTTTCAGTATCACTGTTATTCACTAACACTGACCTGTGAACTGCTCTGAGCACAGAATTAGCTTTAATGCTCAGATATGTTGACATATATCCGCAATAAAAGTCCTCTCAGCCCGCTCCCAAAATACAGCAAATCTTAGCACTTCAGATGCAGTCTGAAAGAGGCCTCCAAGCATCTCCACAGAACCACCAAAATCCTGAAACACTAATCTTACAACTGCAGACTATACAATCTCCTGCTTTTTAAGAACTAATCCTATATATTTCCAAATATGTACAAGTTGCATTTTAGATAACACACATGAAAATTTCCTTTAATAACAGACTTAGACATAACTGCAAAATGAAGTTCTGCCATACCAAAGTACGAAGTAGAATCATACTTAATTATGGCATTTCCAGTCAAGCCTCGGTGTTTTGGTTATCTGTAGGGATTTTTTTGTGTTTTAAATCTGTACACCATTGCATAAATG